GTCATCAGCTGTTTAATACTAGAAGTACCAACAGTATGTACATACCTAGATGCACCAGAGCAGGGGGGGGGGGGCCACTTGAGGTCACTTGAGGGATTCTTTTGATTAATTTATGCGTGAAACTGCGACGCGGCGTCAATTGAACGACCGTCAATCGCGGGAAAGCATCCTGGAGAATCATCAATCAATCAATCGATCGATCGATCGAGCGGCTTTTCGATGTTGAGGCCCGTTTGTCAGTTATAAAAATAATGAAGTCTTGTTGAAACTGATGGGGAAAAATGGAATCTAGGAGTTTAACGTTTTTCCGTGCACTCAGGAGACATTTTTCATCCTACGTGACCAATTTTTTGAGTGGCTCCTCGATTGTTTTGGCCAATTACCAGGAACCGAACGAAACGGTGTTCCCGGCATTTCTCGCCGTCACAAAACAACGAAGAAACCCACGAACGAATCGCTCCCATCGAAAATGCACCACAAAAGTGAATTTAATTTCCGGATCCGGAATCGCCCGGAGGTGGCCGAGCAGGTGACAAAAAGCTGATGGAGAAAACGTAAACAAGTGGTGAAGACTTCATCTCAAGAATGAATAATTGCCAGTCCAGTTTTCACACCAAGTCCGTCTTATCGGGGCTCTCGAGTCGCATTCCAGACGATCGGAAGATTAAGTACCGTCACCCAACCGGCCCACAACAGGCACACAACCGGCACACAACCGTCTCCTCTCAGTTCCATCATTTCCTCGTGAAATACACTTCTCTCCGGTTCTGAACGAGTTCTTGGCATCGGTTCAGATTCGTTCCATCCTCGCATCATCCTCAGAAAAACGAAAGTAACTTTAAAAAAAAAAACGGAACGGTCAGGCAGAGCCATCTAGCGCCCCCCTCGACACTCCCTCCCCCTTTCACAAAGGACTCTCCAAGGATCGATGCTCGAGGGATCTCTCCCGAGAGAGACTTATTGCCCTCATTAGGTGGAAAGCAGCTCTTCCTTGTTAGAACTCCTCGTGAATGGAACCGGGGATCTGTCATAGCCACGCGTCCGACTTCTAATGATGGAGCCCGCAATTCCCGATCATCTCCAGCCCACTGCATCCATTCCTCTCTCTCTCTCTCTCTCTCTCTCTCTTTCGTCTCTCTTTCCCTGCATAATGATGCCAATCATCATTGTTTTTTTTCCACGACTCCCCGGAGAGGCATTTTTCCTCGAATCGGTTTGAAACCCCCTCGATCTCACGGGAAAGCATTTCGGCGAATTTTTGCCACTCGACCGAGTTGCTCCGCTCCGGGCCGCCTCTGAGCCGCCTCTGAGCCGCCTTCGGTCCGCCTTCGGGCCGAGCAGGAAACAGTCGGAAGAGCCTCGAGGAAAAAAAAAAAAAAAAAAAGCTTTTGTCCGGGCGAATCATGAAGAGCTTATGCGCGATGAATAGAAGAGAATATTTCACGGGACGAGAATGAGAGGAGTGAAGAAGCTGACTCATGCTGTTCCGTGAATCAAAAATGAATGAAAAAAATGAATGAAAAAATGAATGAAGAGATCTTTCGGGGCCCCTCGAGACCCAGCCGAGAAAAGATTCATTCGGCTACTTGATTCCAGCATTGAACTGAATCGTGACGCTGTCGCTTTGGATTCCCCCGTCCCCCCCCCCCCTTCGTCCCCCCCCCCCCCTCCCGTGGCCACCTGTCACAGGGTGGCCACGGCTTCGTCCGACGAATGATGGTCCCCTCGTCTCAATGGCCACTTGGGTCTTCGACCCATGGGGCGACGCACGCAGAAATCTCGTATCCTCTAGCATTGTTGACTCGCCGAAATCGTCCGAGTGGCCGATCGGTTCGATAACCGCTCGATTAATCGAGGTAAATAGACGAAAGGAGGTCATAACCAGGGCAAGTAGGAGCCTTCTCCGTTTTACGATTTCTCGTATCGCGATCAGCGTCGGGTGCGTTAATCTCGGTTCCCTCCTGGATTTGTTGACACGATGGGCCGATACGGCAACTCGTGACTCTCACATGCGAGGGTTTTTCCTGACCCGCATGAGAGGGCCGTCTTAATTATCCATGGCTCCTGGTGTGTACACAGGGAACGCGGGACCTATATACAGGGAGCGCGGGGCCTTTTCCCCCTTCGGTTCGCGTTGCTCCAGTTTCGGCGGATTCCTTTCACGATGTTTCGTTGCGTGGTTGCGTGTTGGCAAAGCGGAATTGGCAAGTATATATCTCGGCGGCCACAGACTGACATGCACAGATGTCGGTTTGAAATCAGATCTTCTTGTCGAAGAGCAGGGAAGGGAGCGAAAAGGAAACTCAAGCGCTCGATTTTCAGCCGAGGCCAGAAAAAATGTCACTCTGGCTCCGTCGGGCCCGACTCTGGAAACGCACTCCGGGACGGGTCGGGCCGGGGCGGGGCGGGGCGGGGCGGGGGGGGGGGATCCGAACCGGAAACGCGGGAGACCCCCGTGCAATCATGCGAGACCGTGCAGATTCCGCGGGGAATCGCCGTGGAATGCGCCAGGGGATGGTCAGTCTCGGATGACACCCAGGAAGGACCATGCCATCTTGTCCAGGAAGGACCATGCCATCTTGTCCAGGAAGGACCATGCCATCCTGCCCGGGAAGGACCATGCCTTCCTCGTCTTCCGTTTCCATGACGCCGAGACGAAACTCAGTTTTCACCCTTAAGTGCCTCCAGACAAGGAAAAAAAAAAAACCGGAAGCCTGAATCTTTTCCCTTTTGGTTGTTTAGAGACTGTTTAGGGACTGTCTAGGGACTGTTAAGGGACCTCTTTAGCTTATAGTGATTCTTTAACGGGTTATTGCTCCGAAGGACCATTTGATACAATTGGTCAATTCACTGAACTACCTTGGAGCTGAAGGGCTTTTCATTTCTAACGGCTCCTTCGCCGTAAAGTAATAGAAGAATTCACTCTGAGATCGCAGATGAAGTTGTTTCGGTGATGCCTTTCGTACTAATTTTAATTCAGCATTAATTAATTAATTCCTCCCCTTTCCCTCCATTTCCACACCCGTTCCGATCAGCCGACCTTGCCGACACCCTCGACGACTGCGTGCTTTTTTTTTAATGCACAATTTTCGATCCAGAGACGTCTGAAATCCTTCAGATAGCGAGCGAGCCGGATCGGGGGCCACACGGCTCCGGATCGGAGGGGCCACACGCCTCCGGCCTCAATTGCGGCCTGTCACACGGATCATGAAGTCCGTAAACGAGGAATAATTTTTATTCCCCCCTCACCAATGGCGTGGAACTCACGGCGTTATCCGGCCGCGGGATTCCCGGGATTCCGGGCGTGCCTCTTCCCCCTCGCCGATAGTCACACGTGGTCACCACATGCAACACCGCCGACTGCCCCAGATGGTGACAGCGTCTTTTTTTTTTTCTCTTTGAGTTCCCCCCTTTCTCTCCGCGTGATATAAGCCGATCCCGCCTTCAAGGTCAAAGGGCGCGGCCTTCGCGTCGAGGTCGAAGGGCACGGCCTTCGCGCCGGGCCTGCGTTATGTTAAGCCGCCTTCGTGACGAACTTCCCGGGACTGCCTTCCGTTTCCGTTCGGCCGGCCTCGCCGCGTCCCGAGGTAGAATCCGAGATTCGGGGAGACTTGTTTTTGTCTGCTTTGTCGGACCACAAACGCGCACGCAAAACAAAAACAGTTTTGGAAGAAAAATGATCTCGTCGTCCGCACCGTGCCGTTTCCCCCTCCCCCAAAAGAGATCGTGCAAATTCGTGCAAATTCGCGAGAAGCGCCGGGATTCGCGTCGCGCTGAAATCGAGGGATTTTTGCCGGAAATTGCGATGTTATTTTAGTGGTTATGTATCGTCGTTCCCGGTCGTGGCGTTGCATCGTCGTCACTTCGTGCTCGTACATGACGTTATGAGTTACATTTACGAGTTGCATTTACAAATTAAGATCAGAAATTAAGGCTTCCTTCGAAATCCGCGAGACATCGCTGCAAGGGCTTCTTTCATCTGTCTGCGTGTGAACGTTCTCCGCAAAAAAAAGTGTCAAATAAATAAATGAAATAAATGCAGTGGCTATTCCTTTACAAAGATGTACCGTGGGCTAACCCGTGAGTGAAAATTTTGAAATGGAACAAAATGGGTAAACCTGGGTTGGTGCCTCCGTTAACCGAGGTCAGGGGTGCACAACTCAAAAGGCCCATTAGCGCTTTTTACTCATCTACCGCAGGCAGCAGCCTGGCCGACTGAATGGCTGTGGCCAGCGGGGCGGGAGCCGTTGTATCGGTTGCGACGCTGCCGGTCGTGGGCGACCTTGGCCTGGGTTAACTTGTGATGATGCTCTCGTGATCGTGTGTAAACAAGGGTTGACACTTTTTTTTGTGAGGGTTCTTGGTGCGTAGCGGGTGGCAGGTTGCGTTACGAAGTTTCGGTTGGATCCACAGAAACTCCCGAGTTTTCTTTCCCCGAATTTTTCTTTTTCTGGCGTTTCCTTCCGGGGAAGTTTAATTCTGGTTGCGTCGCGAACGTGACGCTGAGTGTCACGGGGGACTTCACTTCGGAATCACGTTTTCATGATGTAGGTTTCTTTTAGCGAAACCGGAACGGATGAGAAGGGTGAATGGATCCACAATCATCAGCGGAATCGTCAGTCGGCGCGCAAATTTTTTTGCGCCATTTTCCGAGATTTTTCTTCTTACGATTTTGAGCGTCTTGGGGGAAGCCCGATGCCGGTTCAGCGAGTTTAACCCTTTCTCTTCCGACTACAAGTTTTTTTTTTGTCCAGCAACATATTCTGTTAAATGACGCCATTAATTTCGATGGAGCCCCGAAGAGAGAAAGAGAGAGAAAAGAGAAAGGCAAAGAGGTGACGGGGCCTCCCAAGTGAAAAGGAGTCGCCGGGGGATCCGTCGATCGATGGCTTCAGAATCCGGACATACATTATCAATTTAGCCGCCTTTTTACGCGTCGTCGACGACGAGCCCCGACCCGTCGATGATGAATTACAGCCGCCAGGCGGTCGAAATTTCCCTAATGGATTTTCATCCCGCAAATTCTTGCACCCGCGAAAAGCCTGCATCGCGCCAAAACATCCCTCGCACAAAAAAAGCGAATATTTAAATTGAGAAATAAAAAGGCAGGAGCAGCGAGCGACGATCCAATGCGACCCACCCGCATGATCCCGATCGAGTCGGCGCTGTGCGTGCGAGTCGGTGGCCTCGCCCAGTCCGTCTCTTGTAGGCGGCGCCACCGTTCCCCGCCGCGCCCTCCCATTGGTCCGCCGGGGATCCCCCAGCGCCCTCCGCGCTCTCCATTACGTCCGTCCCGATGAGGCAGTGAAGATCCGTCGGGAAGTCGCGGGGTGACGCGCGGATGGAGTCTCTCGTCGCCGAGGCGAGTGGCCACGATTCCCCGGAGTGCAAATCTCGTCCTTAAGAGGATTAATCCTTCGCTAAGCCTCTCCGAGAGCTTCTTCGAGAGCTTCTCCGAGAGATTCGTTTCGCCCTGAGGTGAGTGAGAGGAAGGTGCCGCGTCGCATGCGTTCGCGTGCCCAAACGCGTAAGAAAAAGTCGCCTATCGCTCGAGATGATCTTGTCAGATGAATTCGGTGTCGGAGTCTCCCCCCCCCCTCCCCTCCCTGATCTGAAGGTTTTTTGTTGGCCCGCTTTCTTTTGGTCTTAATATCTGACAACCTCCCCCCCCCCCCCCCCCCTCGACCGGAATGCATTAAGGACACAGGCGCATGGGTGGGGTCGAAGAATCATGCAATCCGCGTATAACTGCATAACGTAGGAGCCGGCGTCGCGACATTCGCACCGTGGCGACTCTGGGGACCTTTCAGAGGCATCGGATACTTCAATATCGTGCAAGTTTTGTGCCATGCGTGAGTAATCAGAAGGCAAGCGAAAAAAGTTTTAGTTTACCGAAAATGAGGGTGCTTGGCCGTATCATTCCCCAATCTTTTGTTAATTTTTTGTGTACTTGTGCGACGACGCGAATCCAATCGATTTAGCGCCAAAATGTCCCAATTTCTGATTTCTCGCGGTGGATTTCCCCAGATGCTGAAGGAACGTGACATCGTCGCCGACCCGAGCACCTTCTCGGAATCCTCGACGGAGGTGGAATCCACCGTGTCCCACTTCGGTAAGGATCCCCGGAGCCCCCCCGACCCGTTCCCCGTCGAGGATCACCCCCGTTGGGCACGCGTGCCGGCAGGCTCGAGCCCCGCGGTCGGACCCGAGACGTGCGCCGGCTGCGGCTGCCGGATCGAGGACCGGTTCTACCTGCACACCGTCGACCGGTCGTGGCACACCGCCTGCCTCAAGTGCTACGCGTGCGGCACGTACCTCGAGGGCGACGCCACCTGCTTCGCCCGGATGAACAGGGTCTACTGCAAGGAGGACTATTACAGGTGAGGATCGGGGCCCGGATCGTGCCCGGATCGCGCTCGGATCGATCAGGTTGCAAGCGTACCTAATATTAACTTCTTTTTTCCCCTGATTTTTCGAAAGAGGAACTAAGGGCTGGCATTAATTTATTTATTTATTCATGAAGGTGCCGGCATTCATGAGTTTTGAAGGTTTTTGTATTATGAATCTGCCCTTCGAACAAGCTCAGTTCCCCGGTGGATGCAGCAATTTCGAGTGGGACTAACCTCTAAAAAAAATTACCCTCAACTTAAAGAGTTTATAATAATTAACAATAACAATAATTAATGACATTAGGCACAAAGCCGAAATTTAGCAGAGGTGTGAAAAAAGTCGTTATTATGACATTCAGCCTTGTCGAAAGCATTCCGAAAGAACCTTGTAGTTCGCTCCCACCACTGAATACAGATTTCATTCCAAGCCTTAATTAATCGAAGCAGCCTTCGGTCATGGCTTCTCGCAAATATTTTCCGTTGCGACACCGTGCCGACTCGTGCTTCAAACCGGTTTCGAATTTATTTCGAAATATTGCGTGCAGAGATTCGTGAGCAGGGGGCGGACCGATATGCGCTTACGAGGTAAGTTAGCTCAAATACGACAATAATTTTTTTTTTAAGCCAAATTAATAATAATAAATTTCATTATAGCGAACCAAGCCGAGACATCTGACGTGAAACTTAAGGGGAAAGCGAGGTTGATTAATTTTGGCTGCACTCATTGTCCCACACGTGTTCGCTCCAATCGGCTGCGGGGAAATTGCATGGGCATTCCTGGGGGGAATTATGACCAAAGAACGCCAAATGTGACCAAAATATGACCGCATTCCTTCAAATATGACTGAAATATGACCTCTCGCGTGAAATACGATCCAATGCGACCTAACGGCACTTTGCTCCAACCGGTGCCAGGAATCCATCCGGCATTCGCGGATGCATGTGCAAGGAAGCAGAAAATATGCAACCTTGCATGCGAATCCTTGCATGAGACGCTCGAGAATGGGATCCGTGGTTCCAAGGCAGACCTTGCCTCGCTGTGGTAACCATGGCAACCGATCATGGGCACCGGAAGATGTTCAGAAATGGAAGGGGGGGGGGAGGGGGAGGGGGTAGGGAAGGAGAAGGGACAGTTGAGCTGCTTGCTTCCTCGTCCACATCTTTGCACCGCCCATCTCCTCCCCCCTCCTCCTCCCCCTCCCCCCCTCCCACTTCCCCCTCTTACCTCCTTTCCCTTTTCTTGTACCTCCTCTCCCTCTTATTCCCTACCCCACTTACCTCCTCTCCCTCTTGCCCCCTCCCCCTCTTTCTCCCTCCCCACTCTCTCTCTATTCTGCCCTCACTTGAGCTTTTTGCTATTCGCTGACTCTAGCATTGAAAGGTTTGAATCTGGCATTGTTGCTCAATGCGGCATGCGAAACAAACTCGGAACACCCTCTCGTCCTTGAGAATTTGCGACTTGAAAGTGGGGGAAGGTGAGCTCAAATTCATCGTTTCGGAGAAGTGGGATGCCAGGTCTGCTGCTCCTGTAACCGATAAGGTATAAAATATCGGCCGATATCGACCTGACGACAAATCGAGGCGAGCGGTTCCTCGGCGGGTCATGAATCGGCAAGCAGAAACTCGGCGAGAGGCCATTATAAAATGAAATCGTGACCGAAAAGGTTGCCGATCGCCGACTTGCATGTTTGTTAAGGACGGAATTCCCCCCGTTTATGGTCGGAGTTCATCATGACGTGACGCTGGGAATTTCCCATTTCGGCGGCCGCACTGAATGAAGTCTTCAGACAACCCCCTTATTACCCGACGACTCATTCGCGTCCTTCCGGGTCGTCGGGCGGATCAAATATTTCGTTCTCGTATGCCAAAGTCGGGATTAAAGTCCTGAGTGATAAATAAATAAAAATCAGAGGCCTCTGGCGCTCCAAGAGACACTTCCCTTTCTGTATGTGAAAATATGGAACAGGTAAATCGCGCAAAGTCTCATTTCGTACAAAAAATCACAATGCACTATGGCAGCAATTGGACTTCGAAGGCACCGAAGAAGCGAGAATTCCTCGCGACTTCACTTCTGCAAACGTCAATAAACGATCTCCTCCAAGAAACGATCTTCTCTCCTGATGAAAATGTTTGCATCGTTGGAATCTTGGCCAGCTCTGCTGCCGCCTAAGTCGTCTGCGCGCTTCTCTTTATTCTCTTTATGAGGGATTTGCGAGAGGGCAATTCATTCGGCTGCTCATGCTAATTCATTCTCTTTCATTCATTCGCTCTTTTTTTTCCATATTTCATTCATCCATTCATTCATTCATGGATTCGCACGTGCGCGTGTGCACGCCGATGGACTCCGCCGTGACCTTGACGATGCCGTTTCGAAGCGATTCGGGGCGATATCGCTTAGAAGCGATCCAGAGCGATATCGCTTAGAAGCGATCCAGAGCGATATCGCTTGGAAGCGACTCAGAGCGATATCGCTTCGGAGCCTTGAAGATCCCGGATGAGATGCAGGAGCGAACATATTGCATAACAGTATTAAAACCGTCCTTGACACAGTCGACGCAAATAAACACCCGATGCGAGAGACCCGCTCGTTTCCACGGATTTTTCGCACTTTTCTTTCCCATTTTTTAAAGCTCCCGCAAAAATAGGTTTTGTTTTTCTGGATGAGTGCAGTGGATGGAATAATTCTCTTCATGGGGTTTCTTGTAGAATTATGAACCAGAAGTGGCTATCACCAATAAACACGACTGTGGTAAATTTTATCGTCGATATTACTTGTACCACCTAGGTACGTCTTGTCGCATTTTACAAACGGATTCGCTACCAGGGGTAAAGATGTTGCCAAGTGTTTAGGATAAACAATTGTACGAGACAACTGCATATACAATGTTTCTAAGAGAGTATACAACCTGTAGATCTTGTTGCCGTTCTCACAGCTGGCGGTTTAGAGGAATTCCAGGAAAGTTCGGAATGGCGTCGCTCAGAAGCAGTTCAGGGCTTAGTTTGTTTTCCTGGTCGCAAAAAATAAACTATGAAAAAGAGCAAGTATGTTAATGAGGGGACTCGAGTCCGGTCAGGCATTGGCACCGCTGCGACTTGCACCGGGGGACTTTCGCTCATTAGTTAATATTATCGAAGCCGCCGAGTGTCGACCAGAGCTTTTCACCCTCGTTGAACTCATTTGCAGGATTTTTTCCGGTCGGCGTTGCAACGGGTGCGGTGGCGGGATCGGATCCCGGGACCTGGTCATGAGGGCCAGGGACCTCATCTACCATCCCCGCTGCTTCACGTGTTTCACGTGCCGACGGCTCCTCGTCCCTGGGGACGTCATGGGGATCCGGGGCGGGAACGTGTACTGCCGCCCTCACTTCGACCTGGCTCCCCCCCTGCCCCTCGTGGATCCCTTCGACGCCTCGGGGGACCCCTGCACCGATCCCGCGGGTTACGCCCTGGCACAGGGCCACAGCCCCCCTCTCCCCCTCTTCCCGTCTCAGCCCCCGCAAAAGGGGAGACCCAGGAAAAGGAAGGCCCCTTGCTCCGACATGGACCCTCTTGCGACTCATCGCAGCCTCGGCAAGTTCTTCCTGCAGCTGACTCGGACCTCGTCCAACTATGAGTCGTGACGAAGTTAGATGACTTACTGTCACTCCTGTCGAAGAGGAGATCCCATTAATTTCCCTTGAAATTTGGAGCGATGGAGCACCTCGCTTAAAGGCGTCATTAAGGAATCATCGATTCGTAAGGAATTATTCATACGTGAAAAGTAGAGAAAAGATCTCCACGGGCAAAGACCTCTCGTGCGTAGGCGTGATTGGTTGAAACATTTTTCCCCTCGAAAAGCAAAAGCTACCATGAGGAAAGTTAGAGGGAAGGTGGAGCGAGTCTCTCTATATAAGGTGTTGAAGAAAGAGGATATAGGAGTTCTCGTTGTGCAGAGGAACACATAAGACACGAGAATCTTCTTGTTCTTCCCCCTCCTTAAATTCTCACACCCTAGTGGCTCCTCCCGGAGTCTTTTCTCCCCACCAGCCCATTAGCCCTAATGACGAGCCCCCGACGATGAAAACACAATCATTTCACAACTCTCCTTCTTAATGATGTAGAACGCACCTCTTCATTTTGCCTACACTT